CTGATAGCTTGTCCCTTTTTTCAGGACTTCAAAATGTCTGGGAAATATCCCTGGAGACTGAATGAGACAGAGGAGCTCTATAAGTATCCAAAAGGGAAGGGAAAGGGAGAGAGAGTCTCATGCTTAGGTACTACTGTCCCTGCCAACTGGTGTGTCACAAAAGAGCTAAGATTACCAGCTGGTCAATTATCTGATTAAAGAGATTCTTTCATTTGCAGGCTTTTCTTTTTCCTTCTTTTTTAAAATCCTGACTGAAAGCAAAATCTGTAGTAAGTTACTACACTTCTTCCTTGGCAGCGATTAACAGCAGGTTTTTAAGGGGAAATAAAAGAGGAGGCGTGGAGGGAATCAGTTTTTTTGTGTTGGCCAAAAGCCATGCATTTCTCCCCCCAACCCACCCTCTTTCTTGCTAGCATTAATCTCATTTATCTTGTTCTCTGTAAAAAGAGGGAGGAAAAATAACTGACCCAAAGTTCTTTATTTGTTTTTAAATGTTAAACTCAATCAATTAAATGAGAAGTTCCCCCCTTTTTAAAAAAAAACACACCAAAACACACACACAACCATTCAGATTTCATTAATTTACAACTGCCATGAAATCCCTTTGAATTGCAGAGTGCATAAATTATCATTCTGCCAGCCCAACATCAGAAGTATGTCTTCAGGGCCCCTGGACTCAGCCACAGCTGCCTGAGTTAGAGGATGGATGTGTGACATGTTGGTGTTTCACTGGCCACTTAATGAACTGTCACAATACATATAGGACCCATGATGGGAGTCCACAGATTTAAAGCTCTCATTCTAGGCACCTTAGCCACTAGACTCACAATTCAGTCAGGTGTGTGTGTTTTTTTAAATTAAAAAACCTTCAAATAAAGTCTTAAAGATCACATAGAAATATGTTGTGTTTCTGTAAAAGGTAAAGGTAAAGGACCCCTAACAGTTAAGTCCAGTTGCAGACCACTCTGGGGTTGCAGTGCTCATCTTGCTTTACAAGCTGAGGGAGCTGGCGTTTGTCCACAGACAGTTTTTCTGGATCATGTGCCAGCATGACTAAGCCGCTTCTGGCAAATCAGAGCAGCACACAGAAACACCATTTACCTTCCCGCCGGAGCGGTACCTATTTATCTACTTGCACTTTGACATGCTTTCGAACTGCTAGGTTGGCAGGAGCAGGGACCGAGCAATGGGAGCTCACCCCGTCGCAGGGATTCGAACCGCCGACCTTCTGATCGGCAAGCCCTAGGCTCTGTGGTTTAGACCACAGCGCCACCTGCATCCTTGTGTTTCTGTACATGGAACTAATTCTGTACTAAATTGGATGGCGCAGGGTCAGAGGGTCCTCCCAGGAAGGAGAGTTGCCCAGCCACAAAGAGGTTTAAACTCCTTGGGGGGAGGTTTTCCTAAATGCTTTGAAGTTAAGGAAAGACACACACACACACACACACACACACACACACACACCCCTTGGGAACTTCATTAAGCTTAAAGGTAAATGCAAACCCACCATCCCCCAGCCAGATACTTCAAAATTAAAATTTTGCTTGAAGAATTCTACCTCCTCCTACTACGTTCTCAGAGGGATGCTTGTTTTGCCTGTGTGCCCCCTTAAAAAATAAGTGCTGTGCAAAGGTTCAACATAGCACAAGGTGCTAGGCAACCAGAGACATCTTATTGCTTAGAGGTCAGAGGGAGTTTGATCCCCAAGAAGTCCTACTGAGCCACTCCAAGAGCCAGAGGTGTAAAGCGCTTGCCCTACTAGGGGCCCTGATGGTGGCAGAGCCAGGGAGCCTTACAACACAATCCCAGGCATGTTTGCTCACATGGAAGTCCAACTGAGTCCTGAAATGTAATTGGATTAAAGAAGATTTTGGAAGCAAAATTAAATGAATTTCTCTTTCCTTGAAATCTAGCACGCGGGAGGCCATCCAAAAAGAATAATTGGCGGACTTCCGGGTTGGCGCCATCGCCGAATGGCGGACTCCCTCCGAGCTCCGGAGGGAGTCTGCTCGGCAGGGGCTGGGTCCTACCGCGCCGGCGACGCGGGGACCCTTAAAAACCACGGGCACGGAGCCCGTGGACATGGGTGACTTGGCTTGCACCATTAGCGCCCTCCCGACTCGTGGAGGAGCCTTTTTAAAGGGGTCGGATCGGGTGCCGGGAGCGGCGTGGTGCTTTGAGTCTTCTGCTTTCCCTGCCGAGCGCAGCCGCATGCCATTCGACGGAGAGCGCTGACTTCTTCCATTGAAAATTTGGACTATTAACAACAACCCGTGAGTAATTGGGAAACCGGGTTCAAAATTTCGGATTTGACACGAGCGGCGGCGATTTAAAAAGGAAGTCAATCCCCCTTATTGTAAGCATTCCAAAACAAGGACTGGGTAACCAAGGTCCAAAGGGAAGTATACTCCTGATAAAAATCATTAATTTCATGATGGGAAATTATAAGAACTGTGCTGGAGGAGAAGAGTGGAGGGTGAGAAGAAAATGCAACCCCCTGGGAACCGGGGCGATTCGTGGAGCCTGGTGAAGAGAGACGGAGACTTTGACAGCTGTCAAAGTGGCTGTCAAAGCTGGAGAATATAAAGAGGACTTTGTTAAGAGGACTTTGCTGGTTAATTTTGTTACAATTTGCTATAATATGGATATAAATTGTTGGAAAATAAGTAACAATTTGACTTTTGGATTAGAGGATACAAAGTTATTACAATCCCCCTAGAGGGTTTCGGGATATTACAAGAACGGTCGTAAGTGGAAAAATACTCTGGGATTCGCACAGGACTTGTTATCTTCTGGGAAAGCTGCAAAACTGAAATAGTATTTTGTCTACAGAGGTATTTACATTAAAGGAGACAATAGAATTTTCTATTGAAGAAAGGAAGGGACTGGACGTAAGTTTTTGTTCCTGAATAACAAACCTCTGCAGAGATACCAGATTTCTGAATTAGAAAGTTTTAGCAGCTGAACAGGACAAGAAACCTGAGAAAGTGAGGAATAAGAAGAACAAAGGACTGATTACGACACGGAAAGAACAACGGGAGGAGTGGTAAAGATCAAGGAAATTAAAGGCCTTTGTTAGATTGGACACTTGAAGTTAAATATTATTAAAATTAATAAATTAAAAGAAAACCGGCAAGATGGAATCGGGGAGAAATCTGGTCATGAAATGAGACTTCCAAGCTGATAATGTATAGACTGATGGACATGGGGAATTCAAACCGGGGAAGGGGGGGGGAGATTTGAAATCCAAAGGCTGTGTAACCATCTTTTGAATTTTTCTATATCTCTTATTTTCTATTTCTTTATATAACTTACGCATGTCATTTTATTTTGATCGGACGTGTTTAAAAAAGGGAATTCGTGGAAGGAACTGGGGTGGATCTTGGGGAAAATCTTTTTTCTTTTCTTGTTAATGATGTGGGACGGTGGTAAGATTTGTACAATTCAATTTGGATAGTGGGTTAAACAAATTAAGCTTCAAATTGGGAGTGAGAGCTTGTAGAACCAAATTAAGGAAAGGGGAATACAGTCAGGGGGGGGAGGGGGGGAGTCCCAGAAAGTAGGCAATGAAAGTAAGGTTTTTAAATATCTTTTTTTCTTTTTCTTTTCTCTTTGTATTTCTATATTTTTGGAAACTTTAATAAATATGATTTAAAAAAAAAACCAAAAAGAATAATTGGCTTATCAATTGGTTTATTTTTGAATTGTAATTGTAATTTGGCAATGTTAGAATGTGGCTTATATTGGATATATGTAATTGAAAGTTAATAAAAATTATTTATATATATAAAAAAGGAAGTCCAACTGAGTCCAAAAGTGCTCACTCCCAGGTAAATGCATAGGATTGCAGCCTTAATTATACCAACCCATGAAGGGAAGTTAGGTGAGTGGATGAAAAGTTATGAACTGGCTTTTAAATATATAGATGGCCAATTCTGCAATAATAATAGTAATAGTAATAATAATCCTGCTAACTCCCTGCCACAGTGGCAGAAAGTTCTAAGTGCTCCATTAATCATTGCATTCCTGTTTTTATGTAGAGGTCATGGAGCTGTGAATGTCCTCCTGTCTGTCTAGCATTGGGAAACGATGCTCTTTGAGCAACAACCCCAACATCTACAAAGGATGTCTAAGAATAATTAATGATCATTTCCTGTACTTTCAAACTGCAGACCTTTCAGATGAAAAGGGGCGCATTGTCCACTGCCTGTGCCCAGAAGCAAGCCCAGGAACACCAAAACCATTCTTGACAAATGTTTATGTAACTTTTTTTACATTTCACAGTAAGAGATTTATCCACACAGTCCCCGTCCCCAGTGGTTTTCCTAGTGCCTAATTATTATTGCACTAGTAGGAAAACCTTCCTTCTGTTTCTTGGGATGCTACAACAATCCAATTAAACAGACTGAGTCAGCCAGTGATCTGATTCCAGTGTTGCCCTTTCTCAATTCACATCTTTGGATCACTCCACCTTAATGACTGAGAGTGTGCCACAGTCTTGTTTTATCCAGTCACTATGCTCCTGAGTTGAAGGGACATTTTAGCCTGTGCTGTTCCTTGATAAAATAGGGAATTTCCCCCCTCATGTTCCTCCCACCTTCAGTCAGGTCTCACATGTCACTGGACTCTTGTATTGGTGCGATTGCAACAAACTAAGTGTTATGTACTGAGCTGAATAGGATCCAAAATGCAGCAGTCTGATTGGTTCTGGAATAATAGGATCCAAAATGCAGCAGTCTGATTGGTCCTAGAACAATGCAGCAGTATGATTGGTCCGCAGGAGCCACCTAATCCAGCTCCAGATGGAAGTGAATCCACAACCTGATTGGCCTACAGGAGAATCCCGGAATTAGCCAATCATGTGCAGCCCATTGTGTAGATAATGTATATAAAGCAGATATTTTGGGGAAACATTCATTCCTCCTCACCACTATGAGCTGAATAAAGAGCATGAAATCCACTCTATACTCCGAGTATATTTCACTAAGGCAACTAGGGGCAGAAGCATAGCTCAGTGGCAGAGCAGCTGGTTTACATGCAGAAGGTGCCAGGTTCAATCCCTGGCATTTCCAGGGTACAGCTGGGAGGGACATCTGCCTGAAATCTTGCTTTGCTTACTGCTGCCAGTAGGCAAACAGAATACTGGGCTAGATGGACCAATGGTCTGACTCGGTATACAGTCACTTCCCCTGTTCCTAATGACAACAAATATGAAAGGGTGGACTCCACACTTTGAGTAGATAGCGAATGGTCCAAATGCAAGAAGGGATGGGGGTAGGCCAAGAGTTTGAAAATGGTATAAATGCAATTTATTCAGAACAAAAAGCTAAATTAATAGTTAATAATGTGATAACAGAGGAAATTAAGATAGAGAAAGGGACACGACAAGGCTGCCCAATTTCCCCATTACTTTTTATTTCTGTTCTGGAGGTTCTGTTAAATATGATAAGAAGGGACCATTTGATTAAGGGTATAACGGTCGGAGCGAAACAATACAAATTGAAAGCATTTGCGGATGACCTTGTATTGACATTACAGGAGCCAGAATCTAGTACGAAAAGAGCACTAGATCTGATTCAAGAGTTTGGTCAGGTGGCAGGTTTTAAGCTGAATAAGTCTAAAACTAAAGTACTTGAGAAGAATTTAACACCGATTGAAAAAGAGAGGTTTCAGAATGAGACAGGTTTAACAGTGGTAAAAAAAGTGAAATACTTGGGGATTCATATGACAGCTAAAAATGGGAATTTATTTAAAGACAATTATGAAAAGTGTTGGTCGGACATTAAAAAGGATTTAGAAATATGGACAAATTTGAAGCTTTCCTTGTTAGGTCGAATTGCTGTCATCAAGATGAATGTATTGCCAAGAATGCTGTTTTTGTTTCAATCGATACAAATAATAGACAAAATGGATTGTTTTAAGAAGTGGCAGAGAGATATCTCTAAGTTTGTCTGGCAGGGCAAGAGGCCCAGGATAAAACTTAAAATATTGACTGATGCTAAAGAAAGAGGGGATTTGCCCTGCCAGACTTTAAACTTTATTATGAATCAGCAGCTTTCTGCTGGTTGAAGGATTGGTTACTTCTGGAAAATACTGATGTTTTGGACTTAGAAGGTTTCAATAATGTGTTTGGGTGGCATGCATATTTGTGGTATGACAAGGTTAAAGCTCACAAAATATTTAAAAACCATATTGTCAGGAAAGCATTGTTCAATGTCTGGATAAGATATAAAGACTTATTGGAGAATAAAACCCCAAGGTGGCTATCACCAATGGAGGCAAAGGCCCTGAAAAAGTCCAATATGGAGGCCAAGTGGCCAAAATATTGGGAGATCTTGGAACAAGAAGGAGATAAATTCAAATTGCAGAGTTTTGAAAAACTAAAAGATAGAGTGCGAGACTGGTTGCATTATTACCAAATAAGAGAGGTCTATAATTTGGATAGAAAAATTGGCTTCCAGGTGGAAAAATCAAAGTTGGAAACAGAACTGCTAGATCCCAAAACTAAAACACTTTCAAGAATGTATAACTTGCTGCTAAAATGGAATACTCAGGATGAAACGGTAAAATCTGCTATGATTAAATGGGCACAGGATGTTGGACACAACATTATGTTTGCTGACTGGGAACGGTTATGGACCACAGGTACGAAGTTTACAGCATGTAATGCTTTAAAAGAGAATATAATGAAAATGGTGTACAGGTGGTACATGACCCCAGTCAAGCTTGCAAAAATCTACCATTTGCCCGATAATAAATGTTGGAAATGTAATGAAACTGAAGGTACATTCTTTCACCTTTGGTGGACGTGCCCAAAGATTAAGGCCTTCTGGGAAAGGATATATAATGAGTTGAAAAAGGTATTTAAGTATACCTTCTTAAAGAAACCAGAGGCCTTTCTCCTGGGCATTGTTGGCCAATTGGTGCCAAAGAAAGATAGAACTTTTTTTATGTATGCAACAGCAGCAGCAAGGATACTTATCGCAAAGTATTGGAAGACACAAGATTTACCCACTCTGGAAGAATGGCAGATGAAGGTAATCGATTATATGGAATTGGCGGAAATGACTGGCAGAATCCGTGACCAGGGAGAAGAGTCAGTGGAAGAAGACTGGAAGAAATTTAAAGACTATCTACAGAAATACTATAAAATTAATGAATGTTAAATTGAGGTCTGATTGAAAATAACTGGTATTGGCAAAAGCCTTGCGTTTAAGAGTATGGAATATTTGATTGACAAGGTTGTAAAAATATCTATTTATAAATAGATTAAGTTTTTTGAGTTAAGATAAAGGAAGGAGGGTAAGGATTTGCTGAAAGGAGTTTCTAAATGGAAATACAAGTGGGGAGGTGCGGGGAAGTCAAAGAACTAAGGAAAGATAAGAAGGTTAAATGAAAGTATAAATTTTTAAATTTTTCTGTTTCCTTTTTCTTTCTCTCTTTTTTCTTTCTTTTTTATAGTTATTGTTATTTTTTGTATTACTTTTGTCATTGTTATTGTTGTTTTTTGTCTTTGGAATTTTTGTATTTTTGTATGTTTTGGAATTTTTGTAAAACCAATAAATATTATATTAAAAAAAGAAAAAAGAAAAAAAAAACAAATGCAAGAAGGGATGGATGCTCCACTACCCCCCCCCTCTCTCTCTCTCTCTCTGTTTATCATTTTGTTTTTATATTTTCTTTTTTCCAAAACTTATTTATACTTTTCAAGTTTATACATTTCACTAATTTTATACATTTCACTAATTTTACAATCATTTTAACATTTCAAAACTTGACTTCCTTCCCCCTCTTTCTGCGGTTCCTTAAATTGATCTGCATTAAAAACCCTCTGCATATCCAGATTAACTTAATTTGTTCATTTATTCATCTTCTTTCAATATATACTCTTATAAAACTGCAGGTTATTACAATAATCCTGCCAATGTTCTTATCTGTTTACAATTTATCTGTAAATATTAAATAAACCATTTCCATTCTTTTATTAAAAAGTTTGTTATCTCGATTTCTTACTCTTCTGGCAAGTTTTGCCATTTCTGCGTATTCCATAGGTTTTTGTATCCATTCCACTACCTCTCATGGTGCAAAGAGAGGAGAATGAGGGGTCAACCCCCTTGCAGGCAGGATGAAAAGTACAACTGGGAAATGAAGAATCCAATATGCAGTGTAAAGTGGTTTTCTAATGGGGCAGAATTAGAGCTGTCTGAGTGGTGTACATGATTGGGCACTGAGCCGAGGGGGCACCATCTGAAAGCCCAATAAGCGAGGCCCTGGGCTTTTGGAAAGAGGCATGAGGCTATAACAGGGTCCTAGAGTCCTCCCACCTCCTTCCCAAAGCCTACTTGGTGCTTTCTGAGGGTTTGGGAAGGAGACAGAAGGGCTCTGGGCCCTTGCACTTCCTTCCCGAAACTTACCCACCTTCGGAAAAGTTGTGTGAGGACTGGGGCAGAGGGGAAGGGACACACCAAATTTTGGGCTCACACAGGGCACCATAGTACCCAAGTCCGCCACTGTTTCTATCAAGGATGGACAAGGCAACCATGGTTTAAAAACAGGTGACAACCACCATTTGCACCATGGGCTGTGCGTGGGTCAATAGCATATGGTGACAAAATAGATGATGACAAAAATGACCACCTGGAAGACCTCCAAGCATAAAAATGGGAAGAAAGCAGGCACATGAGAAAGGCAAACTGTTAGCTCCACTCGTCTGACATGTTGTTTTTAAGCATAAAATCAGCAAAGCCTGAAGCTTTAATGCTCTGAATTAGTTTTGTTATATTTTATTAACCTTTCCACAGCTGGCACACTTGAAAACCCTCTTTCATCACATGCTTAGCAGACGTTCAAGTGCAGCTGAGAGCCGAGCCAAACTTCTGTCTGCTGGACTCACTGTCAGTGCGCCATGGCTTCCCTGCTAACCTCCTGTCCTCTCAGATGCAGCCGGTGGAATACAGCAAAGTTGAGAGAAGGGAAATCCCTTTCAGGACACTCTCAGACCAGTTACTCCAGGGAAGCCTGCCACAAGCCACCAATGGCAATATCTTCATTTTGCCAATTAGGGTCAGTTTTATTTTCTGCCTCATCATATATCAATGATTATCTAGACGTCAGTTAGATTTTTGTCTTTACCCAAACCCATTGGCTTAGCCCACATTTACATGTGAGTTTTTGGGCATGAAGAGGTAGAAAGTTATTGTTTTTAAGTTTTGGACTATATGATACTTCATCAAATATTTGCTTTACTCCAAAACACAAGTGTACCACTTATTGATAATGTGGGGACAGCAGGTATTTAACCCATCTGATTCTCTCTTGCAGATGCTCTCCAGAAATTGATCTGACATGTGGGTCCCAGAGCTCAGTGGGGGGAAACTGTGGGAAGGATCAAAGTGTGTGTGTTGGAGGAAGGACAAAATGGCAGCAGATGAAGCATTAAGTACTGATTCTCTACAGCAAATGCCTCCTTGTCACCTTACCTTTACCTATACATGTAACCAGACTGTATACTCATTGAACATTACATGTGCATAACTGTACAAATAGCTCAGCTATTTGCACAAACAGATACGCAGATTGCACACTCAATGAAAGTAATGTGCAAATAATATCCCTAACGTGGGGCAAGACACCCCATTTTTTGCTTTGTGTGCAATGCGTAGCTCTGGCCCATCTGCTCAGGAATCTATGTACTGGAGGCAAGATGAGATGGCCAGTGGGTTTTGGTCTAGAATAAAGTATGGGAGGGTTGCATATCGACAGCATGAAATCACCAGAACTCACTGACAGCTGCCAGTAAGGTGACAGCTGGCTGGCATAGCCATGGAAATGGGGAGCAAGGAAGGGAAAATTCATACAAGACCTTGTGGAAGTGCAACAGGTCACAGGCATTTTGGAAAAAGAAGAGCAGCTAGGAACAAATGCTTCAGGGTCTGATCTGGCAGACCTTTGAATTTTTTACTTTGACTCAAGGACAGTCTTGACAACCTAGAAGTTAGATTCCTGTACTGTATTGCCCTTAGTGACTGTCTAGAAGTTGCAGCTAGTAGAGAATGTGGCGGCCCCATTTCTG